AAAAAGCCCAAAGCCAACAAACTGGTAAAGCGGTACTGAATGCAGCATTGTAGAAAGACAGACCACTGTATGTATTGGGATAACATGTTGTTAAAAGTCATGTCATGAGGGAAACTAGCTCCAAGCTTAAATCCGGCATATTTACACTTTTTGTTTTAAGTGTTCAATAATGTGCATTGTCCCTGCCAAATAAACGATTAAATGAAAAATGAAATGAAAATAAGAATGAATAAAATACTTGATCAGCAGGAAAATAAAGGGTTTTACAAATCGGCTTAACTTGATAAAAAAAAACATACCTTTTTGTCTCCATCCTTTGTGTTCCCTCGTTTCTTCTCCCTTTCTGCTCCCCCTCTCTCCCGGTCTCCAAACAGCTTCTTCGCCCACTCTTCTTTCTGAGCAGCCAGCCGGTGAGCGTGGGAGTGGGGATGAGAGGGAGGGGGAGGCTGGCTCTCTCCAGGTGCTGGCAGGTTGTCTCCGGGGGCCAGCGGGGCCCGGTAACGGTCGGCCGGGATCTTATTCATGGGTGGGGGCAGGGTGCTGCAGTTGGCTGAGGACCATCCGTCGGTGGACTCGGCGTAGGACTCCTGGTCGCTGCTCAGGCCCTGGAGCTGGCTGTGGTGGTGCTGCTGCCGCCAGTCTCTCAGCACATGGACTGGCAGCCAACGCTGGGGCTCCACCCCTGCTCCTCCACCCCCTCTCTTCTCCCCTCCCACAGCTCCTCCTCTCTTCCCCTGTGAGTTGTGGTTTGGGTTGACTCCTCGAGAATGCCGGCCGGGGACATCGGGGTGAGCTAAGGGGAGAGGGTGAGGGAGGTCAACCAGGTGTGGATCGTGGCGGTAGTGGCCGTTTCTCAGAGCTGGCGGAGGAGGGGGAGGTGGGAGAGGCGCCGAGGCCCCGAGGGTGGGGCTCCAGGCCTGCTGGGATGAAGGGGGGCTGTCCCAGTGGCGTGGCCCGGAGATGTGGTTGTGGTTCGGAGGACCCCCGAGGTCCACTAACAGCACTCTGTTGCTCTTCTCCTCAGGTAGAAAGTTTCCGATGCCGCTGTCGCTGTTGCTGCTGGTGCTGTGGTTCTGCTGGGCGTCGTTGTCTGGATCATGGAAGGCCCGGGCGCGGACCCCCTCAATGTTGTCCCCCATGTCCCGATAGAGGACTGAGACGAACTGGAGGAGAGGCTGAGAGCTGGGCGGGAACTCCAGGCAGCCCCCTGTGTCGGGGTCCGGGGTGCACTCAAAGCCGAACCTCCTCGATACACCTGAATGCACCTGAGGAGACAACAGAGAGGCAGACGTTTTCTACAATGCAGTCCCCTTTTCTCAGTGACAAAATATGAGCATGTTTGAATTGTTGTTAGCTGATTTTAAATTCATACATATATTTGGTTGTTAGTATATGTCTGGCTGATTAGCCTCAGTGACCCACATTTAAAGTAACTTTAGGTGTCTGTAGAAATCTCAAGAAACAAAAGGCTTATATATAAAATGTTGTTTCTTATTTATGAACAGATTTGTCCTTATTTAAATCATAATTTCGAATTTTAGATTTGTCATAAATGTTATGATGCGATTACATGCAACACTGCTGCCTTTGAGAAGTTGGGCAAGTTTGTTGAAAATGTATATTCATATTCCACTTTATGAGGTATTTAGAAATAGTATTGTATTTGCACAGCTACAAAAAAATAACAGAAGTAAAACGCCCTTTTTTTTTAAAATAGTATTTTTCTCCCTTATGAAGAACTTATGAGGTCTAAAAAAAGTGAATGTGAGTATTTATTAACTCTTAAAAAACACCTATATAATGTTAAAAATCGAACTTGCTTATATAAGCTTTTATAGGAGCTTATTATAAGGAATGGCTTGTGTATTTATCTGTATAGTCATGACATGTTCTCTTTTATATTTTTATGATAAAATGATGTCATCTCCTTTTACAGTGAGAGTGATTTGTAACCCTTATTGTATCTCATCACGTTACCTGGTGTTGACAGAGGTCTGGGTCCACGATGAACACGTGACAGGAAGTCCTCAAACTGCCCTCTTCATCTCGTCCACAGCTGAAATGAAACTCGTCGTGGTCATCAGTGGCCTGCATCGTGACCAGTCCGAAGAATCTGCGGTCGTCAGGACAACAGGCGCTGAAGGCCAGTTTCTCTGCAGGGTAGGTGGCCAGAACATGACCTCTGTCACTGCACAGACGCACACTGTCATGCATGACCTGGTGGGACACAGTTAACACGTTACAATATCAGACAAGGAGGAGACAATAACAGTTTATATATATACTGTTTATACTGCTGACATACAATAATCCTAGAACATTACTTTTCAAGTGCCTCGTAAGGACAAAACCACTTAGGCTAAGTATGCCTTAAAGAACTGTGTTGTATAAAACAAGGATTTTCTTAGGATGCCATTGGCCCTTAGCTACATAAGTGTTCCCTGATGTGTTACGAGAAGCTTGTTAGTAACCATTTTAGAGGATATGTATCAGAGTATGAATAAATAAATAGCTGGATATTTAAAATGTAAATAATATAATGCAAATTATATTTAAAAAATATGTAATATACTATTAGAAAACCATTCACATCTTCTGTCGGTTTTGCTTATTTTTGTTGTCTTTTATTTGGTAGGAGATAGTAAGCACTGACAATAAAGCTGTCAGGTAACATTAAAGGAGGAAGATGCGAGTGAAGTGTAACTATAGTAACTGAAGTGCAAATGTGCTGTATTATGACAGTAAAAGCCAAAGTTTCAACAACGCTATGCAACACTCATAAATGGTCCCTAGTAAAAATATTCCTGAGACATTTTAAAAGGCACCCATAGCAGATCCTTAACTTTAATTATGGAATTGTGGAACTTCTTTTTAAATTAGTATTATCATATCTTTGCCTATTTGAGTATCTTAATAACTGAATAAGAAATATATCATCAGATGGTTAACAAAAGATATATTTTCACCTTCATGAGGACCAGTGAATGGATCTTCTGCTCAGCCCGGAGGCGCCTCATGCTGCATCTGATGGCCTGCAGGCTGTCACTCTCCAAGCTCGCCCCTATGGAGGCCAGCTCAATGGAGCCCAGGTACCCAACGATCATGCCCACATTGAGGATGCCCTCGCTGGGCTCTAGGCTAAAGTCGCCCCCATCTCCTACATCTAAATCTTGCTCTTCCTCGTGGTGTTGAAGGTGGAGGTGGCGGAAGTCAGCATCCAGAAAGACAGAGTCGTCATTCAGAACTTGGGCCATCTCCTCCTCGGAGAGCAGGTTGGGGTTGCTCTGGGAACGGGAGGTGTTCTGATACGAAGGCAACTCTGGATCAGAGATCGGACGTGGCTTTGACGACGAGCTGGGTCTGGGTCTGTCCTTGTCGGAGCTGCTGGAGGACTGGCTGGAGTTCTCAAAGATCATGTTGAAAATCCCTCCAGACTGCAGCTCCGCCACAACCTTCTCCGCCCTGTTGATGCCCAGCTGCTTAGAATCCATTTTGGGTTTGTACCAACCCCCACGGGCTCCACAGCCTGACCTGCTGTTGTTGTTGTTGTTAACACCATTGTCATAGAAGACATCCAACTCATCATCACTTGAGCACGAGTCCGGGTAAGATGCTGCCATTGTGTTGCTGCTGTGGTGACGACTTCCAGGGGTGCGTTGGTGGTGGTGACGCCTCTGACGTTCTCCCTCAGCGATCACCAGCTTCAGGACACCGGTGCAGCGCCCGATGAGTTTGACGACATCTTCATGCGATGCCATGGAGACGTTGATGTCATTGACAGACAGGATGTGGTCTCCTGAACGCAACCCTACATAGTCTGCTGGACTCCCCTTCAGGATGCAGCTGAGGATACATGGACTTTGACCTGTCAGTGTAAAGCCGTACCCAGTTCTTCCTCTCGCCACCTCCACGGCCCGGATACGACCCTGCTGCATAGAGGAGGAGGGCGGTGCACTTCCACCAACCGGGCGTCTTTTTGATGACGCATCCCCTTGCCTGAACATTGTGCCAGGGAACTTCCTCTTGTCCATTGAATTAGTAGGCCTGCGTTTTAATTAGTCATTATACATCCCTAGGCTCTGCTCAAGTACCAACGCAGGGCATTATCCAATGAGTCTTCCTTTCAAACTGCTCTGCTGGCGAGAAAAAATTAGCAGCTGTACTAAATGCAGCAGATGGGTGAAAGTTTCGTCCTCAGTTATGGCACGGCCTTGCTACTGTAGCATTCCCATCCTGGTGTCACTATTCCTCCCAATTCATAGACTCATTTACCTGCAGCACAACAGAACAGAATCAAGTCAGCCATGAGCACCTTTTACTCCCATATTCAAAATGCATACATGTTATTCCTATGGTTGCAGGCAGTCCAAAAACTAGAATGATTGAAGTAAAATGTGTGAATATTCATGTACAGTATAAAACCTGGAACGGCTCCATTGACAATGATTTGGAAAATATGTTACAGATGACACTCAGAGCACCCAGGGAATTGTATGGAGACATTTTCTGTGGTAGAAATATACAATAGAGCTCAATTTGGGATACAAAATAAAACAAACATTCTGTGACTCCATATAATCAGTCTCCTATTCATTGTCGATGGAGCAGCTCCGGTAGATACAATTCATGACACCAAGTTTAAGCTTACATTGAGAAGGGTAGGTCATGTTCACAAATATGAACAGAATTCTCCTAGGCCATAGATATAAAAGATGGAATGCTTAATAAGGGCGTTTTCTTCTTTAACATGCATACATCTTAGTTCCCATGATGCTTCCATATCACAGATCAAACATGCCCTCTATCTGGTCTATGAGGCAGCTTAAGAGCTCATTACAGTTATTAAAACACTCCAAAATGTCAAATGAAAGCATTATACTGTCATTAATGGCAATGTTGACAGTTATTATGGTATATTAATAAGATGAAGGGGTTGAACACACAGCCATACCTGTAGGCTACAGGGTGGAGTCAGAGCAGCTATGTCCAATGGGAAGTAATGTTTTTAAACCAGAGGCGTTTAGACACCTGGCAGGCATGCAGGTAAATTAAACAGACCCTGACCACCACAACTGGAACTACACGGTAACTTTTAATTTGGCTTTTTATCAACATTGCCTGTGGCTTTCGTTTGAGTTTAACGACCGTTTGTTCACAAATAGTCGGGAACAATGTCTAAAAGTCAGTAAAGAAAGAGTTACCGTTAGCTGAGATTAGCTGACGCGTTACTGTTAGCTTAGCGGCACATGCTAGTAAAGCTTCACGTTAGAACGGGTTGCAATGCTTGCTTTTGAACGAAACTACCAACTGTGTGTGTGTGTCACTTTACACTCAGGAGTGCATGCGTTTTCTCTGTCAATTCACGAAAGTTACCATAAAAAGTTTCTTGCCGTGGCTCGCTGTTCAAAAGTGCAACCACCCGTGCTTAACCTGTAGTCCCGCCCCCTGATTTCCAGTTCTTTGGAATGTCGGTCCGTAACTACGGTAACGGTGCTGTACACAGACTTTTACATCCTGTCATTGGTTTTCCGAGTTGTCAGTCACGCAGCGAACAGTTATGTGGGATAACTTGAATAAAAGTTAGTTTGAGAAATCACAGATAAAAGTATCAACAGTAGCATATTCTACAGGTGTCAAAACTCAGCAGAACGTCAGCGCCAAACTTAGTCTGCTTTTGTAATTATGAGAGTATTCTTGGAAAACAGGATGCATATATCGATTTGTATTTTAGCATCACATAGCAAGAAAGCAAACGATAACAGCTGGACTCAATACGTCTGAGTTGTAAATCTGGTATAGCAAAGTAAAAGGTGGATGCAAAACAGTTTTTAATGAGTTCGCTGTAGCGGGGCCCCTCAGCGGGAGAATAAAAGTGACTTACTTGTCGGTGTCCGGTGGTGATGATGTTTGGGCAGTTTCCATAGTTTAGTAGCTAAGGGTTAGTAAGGTAAACTCAGGGACGGTGGGTAAACAAAAGAAAAGGCTGCACCATCTGGCGAAGTAGCCTTAGAGGAGGAGGAGGAGGAGGAGGAGGCCGGCAGGAGAGGGAGGTGTGTTTAGAGAGGGCAGCGGAGGGGGGTGGTGGTCAGAGGGGGGACTTCAAACATGATGAAGAAAATACATCTCAAAGTCCATTAACTATTGAAAAGCATCAACACAATGTGGCACAGAGCAGCCCCACCCAACACTTCAAAGTGAAACAGTGGATTCAACTAAATAAACCAACTTCAGAAAGACATCTGCATTTCTGAGGTCGAACTTCAAAGTGTGTTTCTATTGTACCTGCATAGCTGTTTCATACCACAAAGACAGCAGATTAGAGCACACACACAACTCTTGGTTCGTTTTGTTTTTTGTTGCTTTAAAAAAAAAATTGTTTTGCAATTTTTAGTGGAGCTGCAATGATGAGTCAACTTATCAATTATCTTAACTAAGAATCGTCAATTATTTTTGGTAATTGGTATGTTGTTACATATAATTTCTCATACAGAAGCTGCATACAATATTGTGTCCAGCCTACGGAATACAAATATTTCTCTGTTTTAACTCATAAAATAAATATCTTTGGGTTTTTGAGTTTGGGATTTAAAAAAACTGGCATTTTCTGATTTTGTACACAACACCATCAATTAATATAGAAAATAATCATAGGATTGGTCAATTTAAAATATTATTTGTTGCAACCCTTATTTAAAGTATTTTTTAAGTCATTTTTTGGGACAGGATTTTCTTTCGTTATTTGTAACCCCTCCAGCTTTATGTGATTGTTCAGTTTTGTAATTAAAGTGCAAAAAAGTGTTGCTTTTAGTGCAGCTCATATAGATGACATGATAAAACCCTTTATAAGGTTCAGTCATAAAAAGCAGTTTGCCATGTGCATTGCTTAAAACCTGTGCCATCGACATTTCATGAACCATATGGCAGCTGTCTGCTAATCCTGTTAATACCTTTTAATCATGAACCACCCATCTTAATGGATACTGTAAAACAAGAGCAACATATGTTTTATACTGTGGTGTCTATAAAAGGGAATTAGAGGGCTGAGAAAAGGAAATTGTGAAAATGTGATAACGTGATCGTGTCAAGAGGTCAGTGAAGGTCTAATAACAGGCGTCAAATGACTTTTTGTTTCCTGCCTGGCTAATAACTAAGAGGAAGACAAGCAGACCAGGTCTCATTAGAGGTAATCTTCTGACAGGTTCATAACGTTAGACACACAGTGGATCCTGTGTTTGCCATCAGTCATGTTTGCAAAAGATGAATCTGCATACACGTTCGATTGACCTGCCACAACTCTCACAAACATCTTACAAGTTCAACATCTTTAAATAATTTATTCATTTCTACAACAGACCATATGCAGTGATCAATATCTTTAAAATATTAAAACAGAAATACACAATGTTTTTTGTTTTTTTACAGGCTTTTGTAAAAAAAAAAAAGATGTTAAGGAGGCTTGAAGCTCAAGACAAGAAACTAGAGGGGAGTGACACAATCTGCAGTCCTTTTAGAATCATTGTATGAATCAGTTGTGGCTAGTCAGTAGCCAAACTGTATATTTTAAGACGGGGGAACAAAGGAGGTCTTTTTTAAAAGCCAAGCACCAACATGCTAAACGCACGACATTATGGAGAATGGAATGAACTTGGCAGAGAAAATGTAACTGTGATTCTCAGCTTTTTAATCAGAACAAAAACTATTTTTTCCAATTTGCCGATTCTTGTGGAAGGAAAATAAAGTCTTTAAAAGGGAAGCATGTTAAATCTGTTGAACATGACCTTTGTCCACGACCTCCACGCCCACCTCCCCAAAACCACAACAGATTTCTGGGTAATCGCATTACCCCCTGCAGGGGTCCCCAGTCTGTCTTTTGCTCTTAAGATACTAAAAGACAAGATGAAAAGAACATTCTGCTTTGGATCATTTCCTTTAAGTAGCGCAGGAAAACAGGTTTTCTATTATCGTCAGTTTTCTTCCCCCACACAAACAGACTTGAACTGAAACAGGACTCATTATGCTCGTCTAATCAGGGAGGCCTCACAATGGAATTTTAACGACAGCTGCAGAGTCATTTATTGATATATTAAAGAGGCCCTACTATGCTCATTTTCAGGTTTATGTGTGTATTTTTGTGACATGTTTACATGTTTGAATGTTCAAAAAAGCTGGTGGAGCAACTCTTTTCACCCTCTGTCTGAAACCAGAGCCTAGTCTGCTCTGATTGGGAGGATGATGACCAAAAGGAAGTCTGTCACCTTGCTTGAAAGTGGCAACATATTTAGCAAACAAATCATTCTTATGTACTGTTGCATATCAAGAAAGCACCTAACAAACATGAGTTAGTCCAAGTTTAAGTGCTTGGTGTATTTAATATTCTGCACAACGATGAGTGAAATGTTTAAAATTCAACACAAAAACAGAAAAGCTCCCGCCGTCACCGTGGCATCGCTAGGCTACACTTTCTCATCTGTTGATTTGTCAAAGCTGCGGTTGATCGCTAAGGTTACAAGGCTCCCTTTGGATTGCGTCACATCTCTTCCACTCATGGCAACCATACCCTCTGCGGGAATACAGTATTAAGGACTTTGCAAGAAAATTAGCATTAACGCTAAGCATGCTTTCAAGCTTTCAGTGTACAGGACATACATATATTCAGTCTTTATCTAAGGCAAGTGTATGTACAGAGTAACGCTCCCCAGGCAACTCGAGGTCAAGTCTTCAATAAAATACTTTCTGCCGAGTGATTTTCTCATCATGTATACGTGTTAAGACAGAAAAAGAATCACATTATCTTACCGTCTATTTTAAACATCGCTCATCTTAACACAGATCTTACTTCATCATGCACCATGGCTTTCATACTACTTTACAATATATATTTGTTTTACAAGATACAAATGTAAATCCATTTAAAGACTGCAAATCACTTCCAGTCTTAGTACAACATTAAAAGTCACATCTTACATCCTGAGAATTAAAAGAGTACAGGAAATGGACAGGTGGAATCATTCAGGTGCATGGGGAGCACACAAGACTTGAAAAATAAAGAAAGAAAAAACACGGACTTTAGCAATATGATAAAAGTCATAGGAGGAAATACTTTCCCCGCATGCTACTGGTTGAACAAATTAGATTCTACAAATTAATTCTACTGCCATTTTGGTATTTGTTGCTTGGTATTTCCCACCCTCTTTAGTGTTGTGAATGGGCTAACAATATGTAGAATTTTGAAAACTCAAAAGAGTGAGAGGTTTTTACCTGTAGTTCTTTTTAACATCCAGAATGCCTGCACAGATACAGAAATGTCCTTTGACAAAATAACATCCATCACTGGAGAAATAAATGATATGGCTATTAGTGATCATTCTTATACATAAAATATTTACTATTCAACTCGTGTGTGTCAGAGAATGACCCCTAGTAACATAAATATAAAACCGGTCTTTAGAGATTATAATTATCGCCAACATTATGCAGGCATTTGTGTCAGCCCATTGTCCTAACCCGACCTTAAGCACTCTTTACTAAACGCACTGAAAAATAGATGCATTGAAACTTTAAATATAGTAAATACTTTGCATTTTCTAATTTCTTCTATTTGACTTGACTGACATCACAATACTCAAGCAAGTCCTCACAGGAAAATAAACAAATCCAATCTCTGTTTGATTAATGTTGTTTTGTTTTTTTAAATCAAGGTGCTGGGTGGGAGGAGGTGTTCAAGGTGCCGTCGTTCGGAGGAATGGTCTGTGGGTGGGGGGGGTGGTCGTAGGTGGAACCACAGTTTGAAGGATTTTCAGCTGGTGTCCTTCATCTAGGTGAACGGTTTAGACATTTTGTCCACAACGTTGAGCTACTTTTTTTTCTTTCTTTCTGCTTGCTCTACTGAATTCATTATCAGTAGTTCTCATTTCAGGAGGGAACGGGGTGAGGCTACAGCAGAATCTTCTAATGAAACCTTCCCCTCCAGCTCAAATGGGGAGGAGTGAATGGAGATCTAATTTCTCGCCCTACCACATTTCCCACTCTAATCCACTTTTCTCCCCGTCGTCCGTTGCCCCCGGCCTCTCTCCGTCTGCCTCCATGTTCTCCCCCCCCCCCCTCAGAGGGACGTGTCCTGGTGGATGGACTGCAGGCAGCCCAGCAGCTGATGGTAGGGGCTCCCCGGCGAGGCCACGGTCTCGAACACGGACTGGAAGGCCCTGCGGTCGAGCTCCTCGTCGATCTGGTGCCGGTAGAAGTCCATGGCCACCAGGCAGAACAGGTTGACGTCCACCACCTCGCTGGAGCCCATACGGCTGATCACATGTGGCAGTCTGGTACAGGAGGGGGGGCTAAGGACAACAGACTGTACATGATGGATGCTCATAGTCATTAAATAATAAAACCAGAATTACTGCGTCACTGTTGTAATCCTTCGCCAGCTTGTCAAGTTGCAGTTTACATCACAATCAGTTTAGAGTTAATCACAGCGATCTACCCTTACCTCTGACTGTATCACCGTTAGTGCGATAGAGACTTTGTAATATTTTAAAGGGAATTCTGTATTTGTTTGCATTTGTTATGTACCTGCCGAGGGAGTGCAGATGGTAATGAGCAAATGGCTAAATCTCACAAAGATAATCTCTTCTCTTTTGTGATTAATGTCACATGCATGGTCCTTGTTTAATAAAAGACATACAAATAATGGATGTATCTCATTAGACCTTAAGCATGAATTCTTGAGCAATGGCCAGTCACCTTGAGTCTGATCATCAAAATCAAATGAGTTAATGTGCGAGTAGGAGTAGACGTTTGTGCAATACGTTAATGCAACCTTGCGACCTCAAAACCACCGCGGGGGGGGGGGGTGCTGTGCTAGTGGATCGCCGGAGCTGTACTAGATTAGTTGTAAGTGCACTGCCTTGCGGTCTGAAGCACCATCCTTGATGGAGCATATGTGTGGGTTGGACCTGTATCTGGACCAGGAAAGGAGTGAGCAGAGGGTCGAGTTGTCCATTCTTGTTCTGTTTTCTGTGATATATCTTCCTCACCCTTTCAGACTTTCAGTTGCGCGCGCTACTAAGGAGTCGTGCTACCGTGGAAACCAAACAATGGTGTAGCTGTATTAAAGTCCGAGTGGAAACAGTCCTGAGTAAATCTGATTTTGTCAGAAATCGGGAGAAATATGACCCCGGGAGGAACCCGGGAGAGGGCAATGAAATCGGGAGGGTTGGCAAGTATGGCCAAATGCCCTTAATGGCATACATGAGGTATTGCAGTCACAAGAATGCGACTGACAACACTCAAAAATGTTGCCGCCTAAGCAAAGGCATAAAAACAGATTACTTCATGCACTTGTCTTGACTTTCAAAATATATATTCATTTTCCCTTGTTGTAAAAAGGCGCCTGCCCTGTTAGCGGAGGAATTTGAGTTGAGTGCGACGACATTTGAGATCAATTTGGTGAAATGTTGAACTTGTGTAGAGCAGCGAAATTCCAGCTCCAATGCAATTGAATGCCCTAGTGCTTGATAATAACCCACCTGTGAAACTATCATCTAGCACGGTTGTTTTGCGCACAGAAGGCATTAGAGAATTTGCTACGGTGCTGTGAGATGGTCTAGGTGCGTACTGTTCAAACAGCAGAAACTACTACAGCTGTCAAGACATTCTGTGTGGAACTGGAACAGGTAAAGATAGCACATCACTGACTAAAACTATGCACTTGGGGAGCCTAGTGAAAGTGTGTGTAAGTATAGTTCCTTGTGACTGTTGCATAGTGCTTTTGCTTGAAATGCCCGTCCATGGAAGATACAACAAAGCAAAGTACTGTCCTGTTCATGTGACTCGTGTCATGTAAGGATACAGGGCAGAGATCCACTGGGAGGTGGAGGCGGAGACAAAGAAACAGGAGAGGCTCCACATCGCCATGGCCACCGGCGTCCTCTGGGTGAAGTTAGACAGGGACAGCAGCACCCAGTCTCTCACCATAGAGGACTGTCCTGTGGCGTGGAGGGTCTGGAACACCTGGGGGGGGGGGAGCAGAGGGGGGACAAGAAGAGGAATTAGAAAAATAGATGGCTTTAAATTATTTTTGGAAAGATTACATTAGTCAAAATATAACAAATTACAAAAGCAGCTTTTAACTATGGTTAGTAAATGATGTGTGGCAATACAAAAGGAAATTACCCTAAATCACCCGCTAAAAATGGTTTTCAAATCAGTGTTCTATATCAATACAAGGCTGAATGCTGCCTTATTAATCCAAATACTGACTGCAGTGAATTCATTCTTGGTTTTAAATCTCAAGACAACAACTGGAACCCACTGTGTTAGCTTTAGCTTGATGTTGCCTTGACAACATATTGTCTGATTGCACAACAAAAGAGCTAGCTGCAGTCAAAACAGGGTAACTAAGTAACAACTTTATCGAGACTGGACTTCATTGAAATTCTCTGCAAGTCTCCTTGAAGAGGAATTTGATTTAACAAAGGAGTTTCCAGTTGGCCTTGCGAGCCTCATGTTCTGTGTAGAGTGACTGTTCCGCTGCTGACCTTGTAGACGACAGTGGCCATGAATTGTGGGTAAGGTTGCTGATTGGACAGGAACTCTCCGATGACCTTGTTCATGACGTCCTGTGGGGGGAAGAAATCGTCCAGAAACTGGGGAAGAATCCTGGCCACGACCCGAGCCTCGCTGGGTAAACCTTTCCGGATCCTGCAAGCGGGAAACCCCAGGGGAGAAAATGATGTGATAATCAAAACAAGAGCAGCTGCCAGCATCATATTTAGATGCCACAAACCCATTGAGGTCAAAGATGAATGAATTAGGATGCAAATTTAAATGGATAGTTTGGATAGTGGACAGATTGTAAAAGGTACTTATCCGTACCACCAAAGTCACCCAACAGCACAAAATACCCAACCAATGGAGGCAATGCAGATCAGAAACACACATTTTGTCCCTGGTAAAATTGGACTCAGTCATCCTGGATGTTCTAAAGACATGGGCTTGAAGAGAGCGTAGAAAACAGCTTCCATTTCCCCGTCAGAATGGGCTGTCTGACAGCAAGGTGAAGTGGTGACAATATCCTTAACATAGCATACACTTAAACTAATATTGCTTTTTATTGGTGGCTAATATAAACATTAGTATTCCTGTCTGTTTCTCCAAATGTAGGGCTTGTTGACCTAAATCTACTGTAAGTAATAAACTGACTATCAATAAGTAGCTCAATTAAAAAAAAAAAAAGTATGAATAAATCTGAGCATTTATTGTATAATGGAGGGTGTGTGAGTGTGTGTGTACCTGTCAAAGAGCACAGAGACCCTCTCCATGGCAACAATGATGGACTCGCTGTCCGGGGCCTGAGGGTCAGAGTGGGCGGGGCGACTGGCAGGGCTGGCTTTCTCCTTGCCTGAGGAGAAACCAACATGACCCGCCGTGACGCCCATCGCCTCTGCTGAGGCACAGTCAACCTGACCTCTAACCCCTGTCACGTCTGAACCCGACGCAAGCACCGCTGAGAGGGCGAGAGGGGGAGGAGGGGGGGCCGGTTGACCAGTGGGGGACAGGTTAGAGCGGGACACTGATATCACAAGATTCAGATCAGAATTTAGAGCTACCTTCAGTAAATCCCTTTTAGGGCCTGTGTCCACATAGTGCCTTTTTCTTTCTGTGAGCCCCCTCCCAGCGTTTCATCCAAAAGTTGACAACGATATCTCGACAATGTACCGACGCTGACGCTTGATAAACTAGCAGCGCCCCCTTTGTTTTTATGATCCGTTTGGGTTACTTCATATATGTGTGGCATTGTTTTTCACCATTAAAACCAACACGATGCTGCTTGCTCTCACATGAATGAGTTTTACCACTCAATCTGACAGCTGTAGAGCCAGGAGGACCATCTGCGTACGCGTTAAAAAGGAACAACAGTTTATTCGCAGCAACATCCAGTGTCCTCCCAATTGATCTGCTACAACAAATGAGCCTCTCAATCCTTGTTATGATCAAAAACAAGCTTTTCCTCCAATTCTTACATCTCTGATGCCTTCCAGAAATGAATAGCGCTTGGAGCAGCCACACTTTTGAGTGCTAAAAAAAAGTTGCTGGGTGCCGCGCTCTTACGCCGCAATTGACAGGATGTGCTCTCTCCTCCTTAGGAACAATTGAAAAAAGACACTGGCTATTTTAAAAAGGCAGTATGTGGACACAGGCACTTAAGGTTTTCTTTGAGAGGCTGCTGCTTAAAGTATTAGGAGAGATTTTGAATGCCATGTTTCCTGGGTACATTACATACTAGATTATCCTCTCTTCTGACCTGATTGTGCTTCAGCTTTCTTTGCCGTTATGCACATTAAGAGAGGTATGCCTAAAGTTTAAATCATTTCACATTTTCAAGAGTCTGGGTTTACATAAAGGATTTGCTGGCTGGCCCTGGGCAACAAAGAAGGGTGGCTAACAATACTGTATGCTAAGAGCAGCTGGAGTTAGTAAGGGACGACGTAGGGGTTAGAGGTATGGTATATCAGAGGTATATATAGAACACTTGTATCACATGCAGGAAGCAAGCAGCGTCACACAGGCATCAATAAAAGGTTATTTGGAGCTTTAAAAAAAAAAAAAAAAAAAAGGTCTGTTAAGCAGTAAACAGAGATTTAATTTATTTAAATCACTACTATTGGTAGAGGGCACATATGTAAACTATGATATATGTACTGTGAGCTTAATGCATGGGGGCATGCACAATCAGACATAAGCTGGTGAGTTAGTATTTCAGTAGAATAAGAGGCAGCAATATATTCCGACATTTATTTTTTATTATGATTGCCCAAGTTCTGCTTCATAAAATGTCCCAATTTCTTTTAGTGTCACCCTCAGCTATGAAAGAAGCTCCTCCAGTGAGGGACACACCAGCAGAAGCCAAGGTGGGAATTGGTGTAGATGAAGGGCTGCTACTATGACTTCTTTTATTATCAATTCATCTCCAGATGATTTTCTAGATTTCTAAATATATAACATGTCAATTGTAGTATCTGTACGTCCAAGGTGATGTCTTTAAATGCCTTGATTGTCAGTCCAAAACCCAAAGTTAAGCAGGAAATCTCTTCATTTGGGAAACTCAAAACTGAATTTTCTAAATTGTTTTATGAAAATTACGCTACACATATCTTAAACTGCACTGTAACTTTTATTATGTTTTTAAATGTCATCTTATATCATTGCTTTTAAATGAGTGTTTCTAGATATCATTTTATAATATGTTTCTTAATATCTTTCATTTTTGTAAAGCACTTTGAATTGCCTTGAGTTGAAAGGTGCTATATAAATAAACTTGCACTACATTTTACATTTGACTACTAAATAGAGTGTTTTTATATTTGAATACGATTTTGGTTGGATTTCCTAAAT